AGTTTCTCTAACCCCACAGAGCTTCAATTTAAAAAGCATAAAAATTGTATTAAAAGCCAATTTATTACAAGTAACTAATAATCTGTGTGTATCATACTGGTGAGCTATCAATCTGAGGATAGTGAAGACTTGAGGCTATGATGCAGTGGGCTTGGGCACATGCACAATTGGTTGAGAAACCTCTGGGAAAAATGAGGAAGCGTTGCGAAAATGTTCAGACTACAAAACAATGCCAAAACTGCTGTTTTGATTTTGCATCCCTCACCCTTCCTCAGATTCACGTGTACTGCCTGCACCACTATAAGAAACACATTAACCCCCCACTTCTTTCATAACCACAGACAGCTGAGTTGACCCCAGGATCATAGTCAAGCTGGAAAGATTAGGTCAACTAAAAAAGCCAATGACCTCATCAGAAATCAAAACTGCACCCTTCCAACTTGTAGCACAGTGCCTCAACCGAATATGCTACTGTGCGCCCTTTTCATAAAAGAACAGTTATAGAAATTAAGACTAAATAGTTAATACAGTTAAAATAACATGTGAATATTAAATTGGTTAAAACCAATTAAATTAATTTAGATGCCTTGTTGAGTAGACAGAAGTATGTAACAATAGCCTCTGTTTCTATTATTGGTTATGTGAAATATTTTATTGACTGTTGTACTGTGGACCATGCCTGTCTGCAGATATGTAATAAAATATTTCATGTCAGCAATGACAGAAATGTAGGCCATCACTACAACCTTCTGGTTTGTCCAATATACATTTCCCACAAATGATGCATGATGCTTTATCATGTTGAAAACTTATTTGTACAGTACATGATGGACATAAGGTGGCATGTAACAAGATTTAATAAATACACAAGACTGTGTGAAAAAACCTATCCTTCATTTCTAGCTAACAACATAGGAGTCCTATATTTCAGAGAAAATATTTCATTTTATGGTTAGGCGAAATGAAGTGTGATATGTTCTATAACTGATCATTTTCATAAGTGCAGGAGCATGTAATCTGTGCAAGTATAAATTGTGTGTGTGTGCGCACACATATACTACCAAGTTATTAATGTTCTGTCCTGGCTTGGAAGTACACTCATATTACCTGGATCTTGGACAGGGTGGTGTCTGTCCAGTACACAACTACCGTTGTGGATGACAAAACAATGGCCATAAGCCCCACAGGAGGTATCAGTGGTGAGATGGGTTCAGGTGCCATAATCTCCTTGGTACGCACAGACACATACACAGGTCGTCCATCTCCCATGTCATTATATGCTCTCAGGCTGATGACATACTCTGAGTTGGGCTCTGCAGACAGAAATGACTGAACTGATACAAACAGAAATGATCATGATTTTCACCGACACAGAAAAAGCTACAGCAGTAGAGACAGAAAGCAAGTTTGGTCTAATTCTTTTTGTAGTTTATTTCATTATAATGTATCTCAGGATATGTAGTGCTGAATGGTAGAATGACGGACAAATAATGAATATGAAAAGGATTTGTAAGAAACCACTTGTGACCCAATTCAGGTAATATCATGGCATTTGTATCACATCCCATTCTTTCAATATCTGCACAGAAAGTGATTATTTCACATGAAGTGGTAAATGACAAATTGCCAGCGCCAGGATTACATAAAACTCAGTCTGAGGAACACACACTCACCAACGCCTTCAATCACATAAAATCTCTGTTTCCCATCCAGTAGCTGTGTATATACATCAGGGATGCCCTTCCCCCAGCCTATGGTATAGCCCCGGACCATGATGTTCTGGTTACGTGGTGGGTTCCACGATACAGTGATGGTGTCTGTCATTGGTCGAGCTGCAACAAGAATGTAACAATGACTAATGCTTTGAAGCAGAATCCTTCTTCAGAAGAAGTCACTTAGCTGCCCAAAAAAAAATCCCTTCATTTATGAAACCCACACATTTAGTACTTTTCAAGAGCCCACCACAGGACAATACCTTCAGCCACACAAACCAGTCTTTAACTTCACACCTTATTTCCTTAAGAGACATTTCAATATTATCCTCCAGAAATGCCTGCATATCAGATATGTTCTGTTCCATGCATATCTTTAACCCAAAATACTCATCTCTTGGATGTATCCTAAATGAACAACCAATCTCACTCTCATTGATATGATCACTCTAATAATATCTTGGGAAGAGTATAAGTTACGAATCTGTTCACTGTGCACTTTTTCTGTTTCCAGTTAAATCCTCTCTGTTGCATTCAAATATTTTTGTCAGTTCATAATTATCCTAAGGGCATGCAGTAGTGTAGCTGGTTGAGGCACTATGCTACAAGCCGGAAGGTTGCGGGATCGAATTCTGAAGAGGTCATTGGATTTTTTTCAATTTACCTAATCCATCCAGCTGCACTATGGCCCTATGGTTGACTCAGCCTCTAACAGAAATGAGTACCAGGAATATTCTTGGGGGTAAAAGGTGGTTGGCGCATAAGGTTGACAACCTTACTGCCATCTATGTCTAGAAAATGTGGGAGACTCAACATCTCACAACCCTATGAGCCTCCACAGTCTGTTACAGGGATACCTTTACTCTCCCTTCCATTACAGTAAGAACCTAAATTCTAACCTATATAAAGCAACAAAAAATATACTTGTGAATATTTCAATCTTTAGCTTTTTTGTGGAAAAGATTTTTATGAAAGATATAGATTCTCCAAAATTAATCTGCTCTCATTGTCTTCATTAAAGTAATATTGATTTGTTACTCTAACTGAAAACTAGAAGAGGAAATAAATGAGGGCATGGGGAACAAAAGTGTCACTGCAAGACATAGAAAAAAGAAAAAATTTTAACAGGACTTCTTATTACAATTTCAGCAACATGACTGTTCATTAACATACTTACTCTTAATGTTTCTGTATAAAGGATGATGTAATGTATAGAACTACAGTTTGCCACATGGACAAAATTTCTGTACCAAAATCAAGAAAAATTTTAAATACTAGCCATATAATATTTGTACAGAAAATGGCACCCAAAGCCACCAACTTAAAGGCCAAAGATGTTATCATGTGCTGCCTGGTTAGGGTGATCAGAAACCTCAGGGAACAGTTATAAACACATATAGAGCAATGGTGGAATAATAATCAACAGGGGAATGCTGAAGAAACTCAGAGAATAAACAACTCCACTGTCATTTTATCCACAATGGGTCTCACATGAAATCACTCAAATTGAATCAAAGCTCTGTGGTAAGATGACAGAATCTACCTGCTTAAGTTATGGTATGGTCTTGTATATTTTATTTTCTGTATTACACTGAAGACTAAGTGTGTACACTTTGCTCATTTAATGCTTTCTACGCTTTTTGCCCAAGTTCACACTCTGCATTTCTTCTTACCTTTGAGTCCACTTGGCATGTCAGGAACTTGGCTTTCATCCAAGTCATTTTCATATGTCTCAACTGTATACCATTCTGTAGGCGGACCTGAACCATTTACATTGAGAGCCCACAGGCGAACCTGGTACACAGACTGTCGCTCAAGGCCCACCAGTGTATACAGGCGTCTATCACCAGCTGTAGTCACAGTGTCACCTCGACGTTCTCCACGTCTGTCACGTTTCCTGTACCTGAGCTTATACCCTGTGATGATACCATTGCGGCCCTCCCTGGGAGGGGCCTCCCACCTTACTGTTACACTCTGTAGACAAAGAAATACAATGTGCACCTCATTCGCATGCAATGGCTCTGCAGAAAAAGTACAGGTACAAGAAATAAAGAGAACAATAAACTGACAGTGCATTACTCATGGCTGCTACATATGGTTATTTTCACTGTTACTTCAAGAATTTAAAAGCTGTCTGTTATGATCAGTAAGAATGTTATATAAAGACTTTAAATATTAACCTAAATTAGAAAAAATGAATGCATGTTACTCATTTCTGAAGAAGACTATCAAATTCTTAACAAATTACCATAAAAATATAGTGTTTAGAAATTTCACTATGTACTTTTTCTGGGAAGAGACAAGCTACTTTGAGAAAAGTTATATGACACATTCAATATGTGCATAAATACCACTGTCAGTACCAAAATTACATAAGTGTCAATTCATAGTATCTAATAATGACATTCTGCATTACACAATCCAATGAAATTTTATAACTGAAGGGCTTGTTAAAGTGGAAGTCAAAAATGAGTATGTATTTTCAAAAGACATCAACCTACTACAGCTGCCATGTAACTTTACCAGCTATGCATAACATTTTCATATCAGCCATCCCATGATCCAGTTTGCCATCTCACACTACAGTGTTGCTAGATTAGCTTCTGGCAGCTAATATTGTGACACATGTGAGGACAAAAGCTAACAGAGGAGTGGGCTACTACCCTCTGGGATGTGCCAGAGGGAAAAATATGATAAATGAGTAGCGTTATTACCTTTGATGTGGATAAGCTGCACACCCAATTTTTTCGGCACATATTTTTTTCTGAAAAATGTGTGTGGGGTATTTGAGAAAATACAGGAGAGGTAACTTGGAAGCAAGATACATATATACATTGACAAATATGCATAAAGCACCAGCAGAAGGAAACTCATGTGAAGTGCTGAAAAGCTCAAAAAGCTTCAGTGACTGCTGACTCTAGTCTTCAGTAATCAGCATATGAGTCATGCTGACAACAGAGAAAAATGGCTACTGACCATTTAATTACTTGGAGCAAAAAGAAGTGGAGAAAAAATTGCTGATCTAATTATACAGAGCAGCTACATTACCAAAAGTAGCAGCCGAGTGAGAAGTCTTGGCCCAGAGAATGCTGTCTCAGTTGAGGTCTCCAGTGGGTTTCCTTACTCCCTTAAGAAGATATGTTGGGATAGCACCTCAATTTAGATCACAACTTTTTCTTTCCACGTCAACGCCAATTCACTGTTCAGTGGCCAACGTATCATTTGACACTACATACTTTCAACTGCTGACACGATCATTAATAAAAGATAAGTAAATGACTACAGACTGTAAACAGGTTGTAACAAAACAGACTACATGGGGACAGAACAGTTCCTTCTTATTTAATTTATCTGAGAACATGGAAATGGACAAAAAATTATTCTGTTATTTATTGGATCTAATAACAGTGAATGGCTGCAACATCAAATATTGCAGTTGAGTGGGAAGTTCTACTGCTTTTCATTTAGGATGTTCCTGATCCTTTCCAACCCATTATTGACTTATCATGATTCAAATGACATTACACAATACAGTCTGACATACCACTAAAGTTAATAATTACAAAAACCGGATGAATAAGTAGATAGAAAAGCAAAAATTTATATCTTCCTGTAGCAGCAGGACAGACAAATGAAAATTTCACGTGACTTTCATTCAAAATTTGTTGTATGACTGTAAGGGAGCCTCATCTTTATTCCATTTCACAGAAAAGACATAACACACCGGCCAGTCAAATAGAAGAAAAGAATAGAACAGAAGCTCAAGACACTAATTATTGACCACACCCATGATTACACTTGCAGTGTCACAGCCAATAAATGAACAACCTCCAGACATATGTGCTCAAAATGAGTATCTCATTTGTGTATTTACAACACAGAGGTAAACACTGAAATCAGAACACCTTCACAATGTGGGAAGAAAAACATTTCCAGAAATGTAAGTGCTGCATATTTGGATTTACATATATTTTGTTCATTTATTAATATTTTATCAGGAAATATTTCATGTTGTTGTTATGTGCGTAGAGTAGAAAAGGTCAGTTTCCAGAAATCTAATGAAGTTTAATTTCTACTTAAGTGATGTATGTTAAGCCTGCTTGTTTTGTATGCACATGTTAGGCTATTCAGTAGTAAAGATATTCTTCCTGTCACTTACTGTTGAGCTGCTGGCTTCTAGTGTGACATTCTGTGGCGGCTCGGAGGGCACATCAGACAGCGTTCTACATACCACCTCTTCAGTGCTGGAGCCTGGTCCATTCTGATTGACTGCTACCACCCACACACTGTACTCCATGAACTTGTTGAGACCCACCAACTCATACTCCAAGTCTGATGTCACCACATGGTGCTCTTCTGCCGAGTCTCCCTAAAAAAAACATACAAAATACTGTGTGCTTCACTGACTGTTTGTAATACTTAAAGAAGTGTCACAAATGTCCAGTATGATAAGTCTGTGGGTCCAGATGTAAAAATGCTATCTGGAAAAACCAGTGATCAATGCAGTAGAAACCTGGAGAGACCAACCAAGTTTACAAATTAAACTGATAACTTAGTAATCCATTCTTGTACTCTACTTCTGATAGTACAACATGTTCATATTAATTTATGTGAGGATTCAAACTGCTGATTTTGGCAAGATCCAATGTACGTTATGGTGGTGCTGCTGGTGATGACATGCTTGAAGCAGCAGCAATCCAAATGTTTTGAGTCTCTCATGGTACTGATTGTTCAGTTTGAGGTATTCTGGGTTGTGACCCCTTGCAGCCTTGTATGGTCATACTGATATTATGGAGGAACAGTCTGCCTCCATCTTCTGGATTGGACTGAAGTTCAACTATAAAGATGGACCAAACAGGTTTTCAGTAACACTCTAGACTCATATTTTGGAGTTGCTCAGCCTCAATAACAACCAGGCCACCAGCAATCCTGATATTTCATTGTTCTATTCAGTCCCTTCATGCAAATGACAGGATAGTAACTTGATTAGGTCATGACCATTTCCTTTCAAATCCTTCCAAATTCAGCATTCACCAATCATCCTACCATTTGACACTCTAGATGCTGACAGTGTCATTAACCACTCTCTTCTAAAAATAGAGGCGGCATGTTCCTCTGAAACACTGGTATCACCTAGATGATTGCACAGCTTCAAAACCCAGAAGAACACAATATGAACCTAAAACTTAACCCCCGAGAGACAAAAACTTTAATGTATGCATCCTAACAGATGAACTTACTATNATATATATATATATATATATAACAGAGTCATCAAACATACCATGATACTAATGTTCCTTTCTAATCAGGGGGAATAGATGTTGCACATATGCCATTGATTATGTAATGGGATGGTATATCACAGCACAATGATGTTTAGCCAACACTGCTATTTGGCTTAGTAAGTAACTATTTGCTTTCTAAAATGAAATCACAGATTTTCCGAAAGGTCAGAAGTTTATCCTCAAAGTTTGATGGCAATTTATGGAAAAGTTAAGTCCTCTGCTGCAAATAAAAATCTTTTCCTCCATAATATTCATGCACAGTCCCCTTTGTTAGCCTTAAATTTCTGTTGCTTGTTGAACTTAATTATGTTACATGAAACTGGCATTCCATTCTCTCTCTAAGTCCATACACATGAAACACAGTATGAAACTATGGACAGTAGTGACTTGTTATGAACACAATTACGAGCACTCAGATTTCATGAAAGGCAGCAAATGTATAGGATCAGATGAATGACTGTCAGCTTCTGATGATGAAAACTGTTCTATAGACTTAGTTATTTCCTCAGCCTGGATACAGTTGGCTAGCCTTATCAATTCTAAATTTCCTCCATTTCTGACCTCCATGTAAAACATGTTGTAATGCTGGATGGCCCCACTGCTATGCTCTGGCTGACTCCACTGGACAAGCAGGCTTGTTGGGGAAGTGGGTATCACCTTCAGCTTCTGAGGAGGGCCTGGGACATGAACCTCAGGTTTGGTGGTCACCTTCAGGAGATCTGAGCTCACCCCTCGACCTCGGACACTGTATGCCAGTACTCGGAAGAAGTAGGTTCGGTCAGGGGTCAGTCCTCCGATGTTCACTTCCTCCAGTCTCGAGCCTGTTGTGTTTACAACACGTTCCCTGGAAAAGTGACACACATAATTTCAAAATGGAGGCAAAGACATGTCTTTGTTTATTCTGTCTACATCATGGTATCCTCTAAATGTTCACTGTGATGGATCATAATATGAGTAGTAACAATTTCAATGAAATATGATCATTTTCTAGGCATGTAAGCAAGTCTTAAAATGATGAATTGAATATTTTAAATTAAACTACCCTCTGCAATTTGCCAAACTCTATATGGTGTATTCAGGTTTGTTACTTACCAAAAATATGTCAAATCTGGGATAACGTAGGAGAGCAATTTTGAGAAATAACAGATTACTTTAAACCACCACAATCAGTGAAATCAATGAATTCACTTGCTTCTTTTAGAACAACTCTTCAGTATGGGTGTGTTAAAGGTACTTATCAAAATTGTGGACTAAACTTAATGAATACCTCACCTCTCAGAGCCCTCCTGCCGGTAGAACACGGAGTATGTGAGGACACGTCCATTCACTTTCTCTGGAGGGTTCCAGCTAAGTGTGACAAACCTTGCTGACACAATAACCGCCTTCAGTTCACGAGGAGCAGAGGGCAGGTCTGTGCCTCCTGATGACATAGGTTCCTTCCCACTGTTGCCTTCTACTGGCACATCTGTAGGAGGTGGGGCCGTATACGCTGTTAGTACAGCTCCGAGCCCATGAGAACTGGGGGAGGAGACTACTGGCAAGCCTGAGACCCATTGGGACAACATAATTTAGGAGAAATAAAGCAGAGGAAAAAAAGAAACATGAAAAAGCAAACTCATAAGAAACAAATAAGAAATGAAAAATACAGATCATAATGTAAATAAAATCAACCCATGATATGAAGGTGTCTATCAGTCATACTCAGTTAAAATCAACACACTTTAAGGCCAAAACAGGATAGGAACAGGATTCAGCACTATGTCAATAACAATCATGGTTTAAATAAACACCTATTATCAGTATACACGGTTATATATGGGCATTAGGTAAACGTGAAATATAATATTTACTTTTATATGGCATATGGTTAACGAGTTACTGTACTATACAGGGTGATTCACGACTTTAGGGCATAACTGCAGGAGGTGATTTCCTAGGTCTTTGTGATCAAAAAAGTTCATATAAACATGTGTCTGATTTTAGACGGTTACGGAGTTATGACCGTTTTTTCATTCCTGTACACACCCTCGTGTGAACCGCATCTGTCAGCTGGCGGGTCGCTATTTTTAGCCAGCTATAGACAGAATGTTCTCATTATCTCGACACT